GAGAGAGAGTGTGTGTGTGTGTGAGTGAGAGAGAGTGTGTGTGTGTTAGAGAAGTGCACACACACACACACAGGTTGAAATGATGTTTATGGTCTGTGCTCCCAACTCAAGTCCAAACCATCACGGTATTACCATAGCAACGGTACGGTCTGTGGTGAGGAGGTAAAGCGGCGCAGACGCGGTTTATATGAGGTGTGATGATCTGATAGCGGATTATATCGGTGTTTCCGGTTCTGTTCGGCTTCTTGTTGTTGGTGTATAACATCCGCAGAGCAGCACACACTTACCCGCCACTGTGCGGGACACCGAACGACATCTGATGCGTGGCGTTTACGCTTCTGTTTGCGATTAACCGAACCGAACCGAACCGCTTCCGACGCCCGGCTCGAGCAGACAGACCAGCCAACGAAACACAGCGCCATGCGTCACTTCCGCTACCGCCGCGCATGCGCAGTATCATAAAACTCCCGTCACTTACGCAGGGGCGGAGCCAGCGGAGGCCCATCCAGCTTATTATACAAATATAATATTTGTTAAACAATTGTTGTTCTAACACAATTACAAAACTATGATAACATCTCAAATACTAAAATTAATAAAATATGTTTTTGCATAATTGTTGATGAATTTGATTGACAGCTGAGTGATTAATGAACATGTTAGAAACCCTCTGAACGCGAAGAGAGAGAGATGGATGGATGATAGAGAGATAGAGAGATTAATGGATGGATGGATGGATGGATGGATGGATGGATGGATGGATGGATAGATGGATGGATAGATAGATGGATGGATAGACGGACAGACGGATAGACGGATAGACGGATAGATGGAGAGATAGAGAGATAGATGGAGAGATAGAGAGATAGAGAGATAGATAGATGGATAGTTATTCTTGTTTCTCCAGCAGGTGGAACTAAAATTGAAGTTAGTTGTGAAACAGGCTGGTTTGAACGGGTCATTAATGTGCGCTTTGCTGTAGTTCGTCATTAAGCAGCATGTATTGTAGGTTATTATGGAATATTTGGCTCTTTTGTTGATTGTTCTGACAATAATAATTTAACACGGAGATGCTGTATAAACGACTTTCACATGGGTTTTACATGAAACTGAACCTTCAGATTAATATCTGACAAAAAAACACCAGAATACTAATGTGTTCATTTAATCCAAACAGTAAAAACTTTTTTATTATTTTATAAATATTATTCATAAATACTGACGCAGGTTATTATTGTATCTCAAGTAAATAATTTCTTTTAGATTTAATTAAAGGGCAGTATTCTTTTTTATATGGCATATATATATATATATATCATAAATATATATCCTCCTTATACTAGCACCACGGATCTCATCTTCAGTATTAATCAGTCTGTCATGAATATTAATTAAAACACAATGACATCACTTGATGAATATTAACAGTAACCAGCAGGAGGCAGCACAATCTGTTCATACAGAAATCTTTGTTTATTTGCTCTTTATTTGTACAATATGAGAAATGATTAGCCATCACTGAGAAAGATTTCAGTCTATGAACAGAACACAGATCCCTGATTAAAGGCTTTCACCCCAAACACAATCATCGCTTAGCTTCTGATAGAAAACAACTCCGATTCAATCAATAAACAACTCATTTTAAGAGACAGATGTAAAGAAACTACTTAATAACAGGGCGTTCATATTTCCAAGCACAAATTATATACAATAAATTAATATTCACCGAACATTTGCATAACCACTTAGTGCATGGCTCAAGATTTCCTGAGAATAGTTGCAAAAAAACAAAAACTAAGGCAGCTTGACCTTTTACATAAAAAACAAAAACAAATTCAGAACTCCTGCAAAGTACTTAATAATCAAGATGCAAAGACTTTTTGAAGATATTGAGGATTTACAATCATAAGTGGAGACTAATGAGCAAAGACAATATTTCACAACACAAAGATCCCGTTTTAGTGCAAATAAACCTCTTTGGGTAGTTTCCCTGCAGACGAAACCCCAGAATGCATCCCATAATCGATCGATCGATCGATCGTCTCTTAGATTCTAGAGAAGGTCAAAGAGCCCAAAGCTCCCGCAGCGAATGAAGCCGGCTAAAGCTATAGTTATAAATCTCACTAATGACTCATTTTTCATATAATGCATTTTTTTTTCATTTTTTAAATATCTCAGATATGCATTTGCATCAAAAAAGGCAAGACTCCTCCTCGTTTCATGCTCGTTTCTGGTCCTCAGAGCGATTGTGCTTTTATTCAGAAATCCATGTGCAAAACTTGCAAACAGAGGAGGTCTGGATCTCAGTTCTCTACAGCACCTGAGCGTTTACACACCTGATCAGAGATCATCTACCTGAGGCCATGACAATTAAAAAGGCAAAACCCATCCGAGACCAGACTCAAGGAGTCGCTCCGAGAAGCAAGCAACAGAAGAAGCAGAATAACTCAAGCGCCTCAAACCAGGAAAGTCACAATAAATATCAAACCCACAAATAAATAAATAGAATAGTATACAAAAGAACTGCTGTTTCTTCGTTAAAGAAAGCAAGCACGCAGGAAAACTAGATCCCTTCTCTAAACTCAGCATGAAATCAAGCTCATCGTCCCAAACTCAAGAACAGAAGACACGTAAACGAAAGCATTTCTGATCGAGATTCTCAGGCTTCTCCATCAGAGCGTTTAAGCACAATCCTGAAAGCCTTTTTAAAAGCGTGAGAACTGAGACCTGGTCCATCTGAAGTCTTCCTCTCAGACGGCAGGGGGAAAAGGCTACAAATATCTGAAAAATACATATGAATCATCTCGATTAAGTACAAACTAACCAATAATCTTTGGTATGAAAGTAAATTCTATCATTTGAAAATAATTCCAAACTCATTTTATTTGGAAAAGGCTAAGTTGAAGAGCAGCTTCAGTAGATTCCCCTTCATGAAACTCGCCTGTAGGTGGCGCTCTGTAGCCTCCAGCTGCTTCATTTGCATTCTTAGTTCATTCAGTTGTGTTTTTAAATCAGGTTTGTTCAAGCACTCATGTTCAAATTTTGCATAGCGTGAACATCGTCGGCCTCGGCACTCCTCACTCCTCACAGAACATTAACAAAACAAGACGGATCTCCAAAAGCAGTTGATTTGGATTCAAACAAAAACCATGTACCACAGAAACAAAGCAGATCTAACAAACAAAACGATCGACTGGAGCTCCAACAGAAACAGAAACAGAGGACGGTGCGACTACAGAACTGATATACACACACACACACACACATTCTCTCTCACACACACACACTCTCTCTCACACACACACTCTCTCTCACACACACTCTCTCACACACACACTCTCTCTCTCTCACACACTCTCTCACACACACACTCTCTCTCTCTCACACACTCTCTCACACACACACTCTCTCTCTCTCACACACTCTCTCACACACACACTCTCTCTCTCTCACACACTCTCTCACACACACACTCTCTCTCTCTCACACACTCTCTCACACACACACTCTCTCTCTCTCACACACTCTCTCACACACACACTCTCTCTCTCTCACACACTCTCTCACACACACACTCTCTCTCTCTCACACACTCTCTCACACACACACTCTCTCTCTCTCACACACTCTCTCACACACACACTCTCTCTCACACACACTCTCTCACACACACACACACACACACACACACTCTCACACACACACTCTCACACACACACACACACACACACGTGGTCACTCTTCCTCCTCCCCAGCAGCGTCCTGCTCCTCATCTTCCTCCTCCCATGTTCTATGCGTGACCGATGCGCTCCCGTGTGGAGATGAGCCTCCTTCGGCTTTATCCAGGGCTTTTCCCACCGGCCCCGCGACGACTCGCCACAGCAGCTCGGGGTAGGGCATGCGGGCCCCTGTCAGCAGCGGGACACCTTGCATGGGGCCGCCGTGGCCCTCGAGGAGCTGTGCGGCCGCCGCGACGCTCATGTGATCCAGATGCTGCTGGCCGAAGGATTCAGACGGCGGGGATCCGCTGGGATCAGTCCCGCGGCGCGGGCGGCGCGTGCGGAGCTCCAGGCAGCTGTGGCCCTTCCTGTGGCGCTGCAGATGGTCCTCGCGGGCGAAATCCTTGTGGCACAGTGGACACTCGAAGGGCCGGTCCCCGCTGTGCAGCGAGAGATGGTTCTTCAGGTCGTAGGAGTGCAGGAACCGCGCGGGGCAGCTGGGACATGGATACGGCCGCTCGCCCGTGTGCTTCCGCATGTGGATCTTCAGCTTGTCGTTCCTGAGATGAGAAATGAGAGAGATTAACTGCACCATTCTAGCAGGTGCAAGTACACGACTCACTCCTGAAACTGTGACTCATAACCAACTTTATTTATACCCACTAAACCTGAAGTGTGTTTTGTTAAATTCATGTTAAAATACCCAGTGATTAAAGCATTCAATAAAAGCAACGACACGCACTAAACCTAAACAACGAAGTCTTCAAAGTTGGGTAAACTTCTATAATGGTGTACGGAAACTACAAATACAACTATAATTTTAGCGTTCTCATTTTCTCCAATAGCGAAAGATAAAATTCTTGATGGCTTTTCTACTGCTTTAGAAGAATCGAGAGATTGATTAAGTGGGTCACTCCCTCAGCCCGTGTATTAGATGCTCTAGTTTTCTGTACTTTAATGCCAAGGTAATATAACAAAGTATAGTGTTATAAATGCCTGCCGAGCTGAAACAGTAGAGTAGCTTGATTCCCAAAGTTAAGAACTGATCAAATGTATTGTAAGTTGCGTTGGATAAAATTGTCAGTCAGATGCATAAAACCGTGGTAGATTGTGAACGCATCGTACCGTGTGAAGCGGACGCCGCAGGCCGAGCACTGGAACGGTTTCTCTCCCGTGTGTGTTCTCATGTGCCGCGGCAGCTTTCCCGCCCCGTGGATGATCTTCTGACAGACGGGACACTGCTGAGGCGTCTGAGACTTCCTCTTCCTGCCGCTTCCGGCTGATGCTCCGCCCCCCTGTGATTGGCTGTGGTGGGGTGTGGCCCGCCCCTGCGCTCCGGACTCCTCCTCCTCTGAGGGCGTGTCTTCGGGTCTGTGTGGGATCGGGGTGAACTCCTGTGACCAGTGTGAGCTTCCGTTCATGAGGCGCCCCAGGTGGGAAGCGCGTGTGTCTCCGTCTTGTACCTCGGCAGGCGGTGGGTGTCCTTCTCGCCCTTGCGCCGGAAGCAGCCCGCACTCGGGCGTGTCATCAGGACTCCGCCACACCGGCCTCACGGGAGACACGGCTCGGGTCACGGAGCATCGGTCCTGCTTGCGGCGGGATGGCAGCTGCTGATTCGTTGGATTGTCGCCCGTCTCGCCCAAAATGTCTCGGCAGGCATCTGCCACACACTGGATCCCCAGCAGCTGCGCGCCTTTCAGGACCTCGCGCATGCCCGAGCTGCGGATGGTCAGTGTGGCGGTGTAGGCGAACTCCAGCAGCGCGGCCAGAGCGTCAGGAGACACACAGTCCAGCTGACAGACGCTGCAGCTGTCACCCACGCCCTCGTCTCCATCCTCGCCCTCCTCCGCCCCGAACAGACGCCGGAAGTACAGGCTGACCGCGGCCATGACGGAGCGGTGCGTGGGGTAGCGTGCGCCGTGTGACGTCAGCGTGAGGTCGCAGAGCAGCCCGGTCCGCCGCTGGGCATTGAGACGAGACAGCAGCTCGTTGCTGTGCTCCGGGAAGGGGATCCCGATTAGACCGTCCTCTCCTGGAGACATCGCCACCTGCAGGCAGAGAGAGACACATGTGAATACTGTCGGCACAGAATGCTGCATGCTGCTTCAAAACACATTTCACAAGGTGTCATAGTTGGGTAAACTTATATAGAGACAGAGCACATTTAGGCCACGCCCACACCGGGGTGGGGGGGACAATCCAACGCTCTCCATTGACTCTGTATTGCGGGAAGCTGCCTCCTTGTCATTTCTGACTTTTAACAAAAAACAGAGCAATACCTAAAAGCTGTTATGTGAGAAGGTGTACAGTAAACAAGCTAAAAAACCCAGAACTATGTTTTTATATGCTGTCGATCCAAAAAAACGAGCGTTTAGGACACAAATTGTTGTAGATATCGGGGTATTTCATTCAGTTGGATCATTTCTCAAACAAAAGGAAGGTAAGGAAAAGGGGCACTGACATAGACCAATAAAGTTTAGTTTCTTATTATATCTCCTCCCCGCAGCTTCACATCGGGTGGTGAAATAATCCTTTGACATGATTAAAATAATGAATGGTCTTGTTGCCGATTACGTTTCTCTCCAGTGAGTGCAGTTCTCAGAGTATTATGACACGTTGCGCTCTACTTTTGTGTCCTAAACGCTTGTTTTTTGGGTTGACAGCTTATCAAAACGTAGTTCTGGGTTTTTTAGCTTGTTTACTGTACACCTTCTCACACAGCAGCTTTTAGGCATTGCTCTGTTTTTTGTTATAAGTCAGAAATGACAAGGAGGCAGCTTCCCGCAATACAGAGTCAATGGTGAGGGTTGGATTGTTTCCCCCCCGGTGGGCGTTTTCAGATTATGACGCGTGTCGCTCTGTCTCTATAGTGGTGAACGGAAACAATAATAAATATCATTTTTGCGTTCCAATTTGCTCCAATAGCAAAAAATAAAAAATAAATAAATAAAAAAAGAGGAAACAAATATGGAGAGATTGATTGTTGGTCGGATAAGAGAAAGATGTCAAATTTGCCATTGAATTAGAAACACCCACACACACACCTCTTGCTTTTTACTTCATGTGATGGAGGATTTTAATAAGGGCTTAAACGTCCCACAGGCCTCCTCCCAAACGCAAAACGCTAATTTAGGACACACCCAATCCAGCAAGCAGGATCAACGGATCAGAGAGAGAAAGAGAGACAGGGAGAGAGAGACAGATAGACATGCCCTGAATGTGCATTTGACTGTGTATTGTTAATATTTTCATAAGCATTACTGACATTACTATATTTTTATTATTCCGGTAGAAGAGCTGAAGTGGTTAGAGACGCTGCAGCTGCAGAATCTGACAGTCTGAGACACTGACACCTGGACGAGACAAACTGCTTTAGTGCAGACAAATATTTACAGGCTATACGTCTGTGTGCAGAAGTGTGTGTGCATGCATGTATGCCTGTGTAGGTATGTATGTGCATGTGTGTGAGATGCATGTGTGTGTGTGTGAGAGAGATGCATGTGTGTGTGTGTGTGAGAGAGATGCGTGTGTGTGTGCGTGCGAGATGCATGTGTGTGTGTGTATATGCATGCATGCATGTATGAATGCTTGCTTGCATGTGTGTGTGTGTGTGTGTGTGTGTGTGCGAGATGCATGCATGTGTGTGTGTGTGTATGCATGCATGTATGAGTGCTTGCTTGCATGTGTGTGTGTGTGTGTGTGTGTGTGTGTGCGCGCGTGTGTGCTCTGGGTTGTGTGGGTGGGGTAAACACTATGGGACACAAAAGAACAGGGAGAAATTTTACTTCTATTTTCCACTTGAGATTTACATCAGAATCTGCTCAGAAAAGACTTTCCATCTGCTGGAACAGAGAGAGAGAGACAGACAGGAGGAGAGAGAGAGAGAGAGAGACAGAGAGAGAGAGAGAGAGAGAGAGAGAGAGAGAGAGAGAGAGAGAGAGAGGGAGAGAGAGAGAGAGAGACAGAGAGAGAGAGAGAGACAGAGAGAGACAGGAGGAGAGAGAGAGAGAGAGACAGAGAGGGAGAGAGAGACAGAGAGAGAGAGAGAGACAGAGAGAGAGCGAGACAGAGACAGAGAGAGAGAGAGAGAGAGAGAGACAGGGAGAGAGAGAGAGAGAGAGAGACAGAGAGAGAGAGAGAGAGAGAGAGAGAGAGAGAGAGAGAGAGAGACAGGGGGAGAGAGAGAGAGAGAGACAGAGAGAGAGAGAGAGAGAGAGAGAGACAGGAGGAGAGAGAGACAGAGAGAGAGAGACGGGCGGAGAATAAGAGCACATGTAACAGTAATGGCACTATTTTTATCAGATCACAACACACACACATTCAAGAGTCACACTGATTGTAAACTACATGTTACTGAACACTTCAAAAGTTATATCACCTTCTGGCTGTAGTTGTTCATTTTGATTGGCTTTATTGTCTTTTTGTATGCGTTTTTCAAACAGACCCCAAACAGAAGCGGCGTTACTAAAATGGTTAACAGCCGCAAAAATGTCTGCGTCATGAAACAGTTAAAGACTCAAGAGTCTTCTAATGATTAAAACCCACACAATATATTACGGTAAAATATTAAATGCATCTGAAGCGTTGAATATGATTATTTTTACAGGCCCATCGCTGGCGACTCTGGGCCCTCGAACACAAACACAGGCAAGACAAACTTTAGGTTTAACATGTACATCCCAGATTCACACACACACACACACACACACACACACACCTGAGCCCGGAACTTTCCACCAACACCCCGGCGACCTCTCTGCTTCCCCTAACGACCGGTGGCTCCATACAGCCCATAATACTGGCCTCCCAAACCCTTGAGTGCTGCTTAACAACAGTACACTCCCAACACCTGATTAACCTGATCCAAAACACACACACACACACACACACACACACACACACACACGGAACAAGATTTCCCAGGAACAGGTGTGGCGTCTTAAGGCTCCTGGTAATGTTACACAATTGAGACGGAGCAGATTAGTCACTAACGAACCACGAGCCCCACTTCAGTTCAGCCTCATTCACTCGCACATCAAGCCCAAGACTTTCTCACAAACACACACACACACACGTGTTTCTGCGGTCACATTTAATAAGGCCCCGGATCCTACCGTTCGGCCCTTCATAGTGAAGCAGGGCACTGTAGACAAAACCTGCACCGCTGTCTGTGTCATAGCATCCGTCTGTCTGTCTCTGAGCCGTCTCTCCTGCTTCTTTCAACAAACTACGGGGTTCGACGCTCTCCGGTGGGGATCTGGACCTCTTTCTTCCTCTCTTTCTTCTTTCTATCTCTCCTTTCGTCTTCCTGTCTTGTGAAAAAGGTGTTTGAGACGCCTCCCCCCGTCGCCCACGTGCCCCTCGCTCCCATCAGCATCAGCTCGTTTCGAAACGCTCGCAAGTTTCCGAAAACACAAAATCCCTCGCCCTCCGCTGCGAGCTGCGTCCGGATCAACGGCTGCGGCGACAGGAAGGATGATCTTCTGACTGATTCCGGCCCTGCGAGCAACACTGCGCCGTCACTGCAGCATTTTCCGTCTAACGCAGCGCGTTTATTAGGCTTTGGGAAGGACAGATGGAGAAACTTCAGTGGTTTCCGAGCCGTGTTAACTAGGGTTAACTAGTAAAGGTGTGAAGAATCAAACACAAACAGCCCAACACCACACACACACACACAAACACAGAAAGCATCCTAATAACCACAGATACACAAATAAATTAAAACATTAAATGAAGCAACAAGTAATTTCAGATCACTGAAGAACTCAAAAACATGCAAAGTTCTTTAGATACCTGAACAAATGAACGTGACACTCACCAAACACAGCTGTAAGAAACAAATCTATTTTAGAGACATTTGAGTGAAGACAGAGCAGGACAGAAAGAAGAATTGAAATGTGGTGTTCAGAAGAACAAAAGAAGGAGCTGAAGCTGCAGGAGAGAAGAGCGTCACAGGAACTCCTGCACGAGCCGCAGAGCTTGGGTTTCATCTCACCGTCTCAGTCGTTCATTCTGGAGACTATCACACTTCTACACACACTCGTTTCTTTCTGAAAACTGCATGAAAGAGCTCAAGAACTTTATGATGTCTGTTGGATCAGTGAATCACGTCCTCAAACACACAGCTCTGAATCTGAACCACATCTGTTCTCAGTTTAAACTGGATCTGGTCTGGATTTTCTTTGCTCTGAATTTGAACTTCATCAGTTCTTAATTGAAATCGGACCTGCTCTTAGTCTTAAACGGGATCTCCTCTGAAATTACAGTGAAATTGTTGTGAATTTAAATCGTATCTGTTCCAAACTGAAATTGAACCTGCTCCGAATTTAAATCAGATCTGTTCTGAATTTCATCTGTTTGTCCACAGATTCCATAATAAACAGAACCAGCCCTATATTAACACACAATGATCACAAACTGCAAATATGAAACTTCAGATCAAACACACACTCTGGATCAGTTAAACAGTCTCTACACATGGAAATATTCTCAGCGATGTTTTCTATGAAAGCATTGCAACTGAAAGCCTTTCAACACCAACTCGCCTCATTAACAGATCACGTCAACATTTCGCTTTGGGATTTATAAAAACAAAAACTACTACAGAAAGAACTTTTGCCATTCCAGCAAGACAACACATCTGACAGAGACCTAGAAACTTTCCAGTTTACTTAGAAACAGCGCAAGACGTCTTTAAACCTGGAACATCTGTCGTATCTGATCAAACCAAGACAGATGAAGCGTACAGACACTCAGATGATATGAGTGTCATAACTCTACACACGCATACAATCATTCATAAAAACTGGAGTTTATGTCAAAGAGAAAACGAGCAGTTAAAAACAGCACAAGACCTGACGAATGAGCACATGGCATTTAACATCCAGCCATGAAACACGCGTCATTCATCAGTTACTAGAACTCGGTCTCACGATGAAAAAAAGAGGACAGATATTAACAGCTTGAAACTGCATTATTGTGTCCTTTCACAACTTTGTAATAAAAAGTATTGAAACTTTAAATCGTGACAATTTTACATCCCCTTTACTTTAAAATAGCTACATTTATAGAAAGCGTTAAAATCAGGGAAATTCTGCTTTGCACTTTTTTGACAGAACTTTAAAAAGATAAAAGACATTTTTAATTTGGTATTTAAGTGAAAAATTCACCGTGTAAATAAATGTGATGTGTAAATGGCCGTTTAGAAATCTCATTCATTTATTCATTCATGAATTTACATTTCTCTTCAGTGGAACACAAAAGAAGATATTTTGAGAAATGTGTTTTTGGCAATACAGTGAAAGTCAATGGGGTCCAATGTTGTTCGGTTCTAGGCCCGTCACGATAACAACTTTTTGTTGTGCGATATATTGCCCCAGAAATAATTGCGATAAGCGATATTATTGTCATTTTAAAGACCATTTTATGCCACTGAATATATAATCACAATGTAACAGCGTAATAATGCACACTTCCAAATGACAACAAACTTTAAATTTTTAAGAATATTAAGATCATGGAAATTAAGTATCAAAATATTAGATAGCTTAAAAAACTTGATTAAATGGTAAATAAACATTTTCTAACAAAAAGTGCAAAGTAACAAGTAGAAAAAGAAGACAAATGCACAAATATCTTGTATGGAGATTTTTCCATCTACAGATTTTTCTCAGTAAATGAAGAGTGCACGCTATTGCTGAGAAACACAATCACTATGTCCGTATGCATCCCTAAACAAGGCCATATCTGCAGATGAAACTTTGTTTGTAGAAGCATTTGTTAAATGTGAACGAGCACCTCGTGACTAAGTTACACCACGTTATGTTCGAGAAGCTGCAAAAGACACAGGCGCACGTGGAATGTACAAAACATGGTGATATACATTTTTATGTAAATATAATGGGCGTTATAATGCGTCACCAAAAATGATTGCGGTCATGTACATATATTGCGCGATAAGTCGATATATTGATTATTGCGACAGGCCTATTTGGTTCCCAAAATATTCTTCAAAATATCAGAAGAAAGTCAGTCATACAGGTTTGAATGAGATGAGAGAGAGTAAATGACGATCTCTTACATCAGCAAGATCAAGCTTACTCAACTTTTGGTCCAGAAAAAGTAAAAAACTACCATCACATACGGTATCTAAAGTCCAGACCATGACCTACGAAGGGCCAAAAGGGCCAGAAGTAAATGTTGCATTATAGCCAAATATAATAAAATACATTTACAAAAAAAATCACTCAAAAGTTCAATGCAAAAACACAACAACACGAAGATATGCATGTTTTTTTTTTCCATCTCAGGTCAGCTTTGAGCGTCTCTGCATTAAATGCACCTGACAGTCGTTCAAGGCCTCGATTCGATCTCAGTCTCCTTTATCGTGTCAAATCTGTGAGAGTCTGACTGTAGGACGAGCTCCAGAATCACCAGCTCAAAGACACGAAACACTGTGAATCAGCTTTCTTACAAACACACACACACACACACACACACACACAGAATGAACCCCCCTCTGCCAATGACAAACACATACAGTAAAGAGACGCTCATCTGACAAGAAGCACCCACACCATCTTCTGCTCTTTCTTTTCTCGTGTTCTCTGCGTCTCTCGCACGCCAGCTTTATTATGTCAGAATGATTAGAAGCGGATTTTGACTCGATTGAGAGAAACAGGAGGCTAATCTGACTGAGGATCGAGTGTGTGTGTTCACATGAACGTCTCCTCAGCAGCTCCAGAACACTGATCCGAGCAGAGATTCTGTGAAGGAGACGGCCGTGTGGAAATAATGGCTCTCTGTCGTCGAGTGTGTTTCTGTTTGTGTCACAGCGGATTCTCACGTCCCACTGCTGCTCTGACAGCTCACTTCTGTTCTTCCCCGATCACAATACGACAATATGGTTTCCTTAACATGCTCACACAACACGATGCCACACACACACACATCTGCCGTGCATCTTGTGCAGTTATCCATCAGAACACATGACCGTAGCAGAAACACACTTAACAACACAATCAAGATCTCTTCTTCATCTTCGTCATCAGTCTCGGAGCACAACACACACACAACTGAGAGAAGACAATAAACAGTTCTAATAAAAATGAACCACAAACCACAATGATTTCTTTCGGAAAAAATAGACAAATTAAATGTTACTCGAACCCTAAAAGAGCGTTGCTATTGTAGAGTTTGATCAAATCGTTATTCCTTTCGTGTAATCAGAGACCCTCAGGAAATCCAGTGTGTATTTCAGTGCACTAATAATATACAGCTTCAGGCCTCTGAAAAATACAGCTCAAATTTATGTTTATTAATAACTCTATGTGTTTAGGGCAGATTTACATGCAAGTAAAAATAACAAAAAACAAAGGATATTTAAAAAGGATAAATAAAACATGAATTGAAATTTCATAAAAAAAATTTACTTCATAAAAATAAAAAATGTGATATTTTAAATTCATTTTCTGGAATCTGAAATACTTTAAAAAGAATGACAAACATAAAGAATCAGACAAAGGAAATGCAGTAACACACTCACACACACACACACACACACACACACACACACAGTGCAGTGCAGACGAGTCTAGAGGAAAGTGAGAGTCGTGTTTGCTCGTACCGTACAGTGTGCTTTGATTCTGCTCCTCTGGGAGATAAACATGTGTTAGCGAGCGCCAAAAACACACCAAAGCTTTTCTGTGAGGCTTTAGTTGAGGGAGGGGATCGAAAATAAGAGCAGCTCACAAACAATTGCACCCATGGAGAGTGTGTGTGTGTGCGTGCGCGCGCGTTCAGAAAGCATGAGCTCCTCTCACTCACACACACACACACACACACACTCTCACACACACACACTCACACACATACTTCATATTCCAGAGAAAAATCTACTGAACCAGAGACAAAACATGTTGCAGTTCATCACAGACGTTCCTAAAAGCGTTCGCAGGAAACCGTGTCACTTGTGTTTGTCTCCATTTATTACTCATCTGATCTGATTTGATTTCCTTTATTGTCACTGCATGATACAAACAATGAAATTCAGATGCACTAGCTGAAACGGTGCTCAAAATATACTGTGAAAATAAAACACACACACCTAACATGCACACGCAGACCACACAACTGGCATCACATGAGAAATAACTTTTTAAAAGTGTGTATTGCTCAGTTTAAAATGATGAACAGATGTATTGCTGCACACGTTTTAGTGTGTAATGAAAATATGTTTTTTGTTTTTGTTTTAAATGATCTGTTTTTATCAGAATATCAGATTGTCAATTATCAATTTTTATCAATTTAATTTAAATTGGTTAAACTGTAATAATGTTATTATATATTTACATTTAGTCATTTAGCAGATGCTTTTCTCCAAAGCAAATGAGGACAATAGAAGCAATCAGAATCAACAAGAGAGCAATGATACGCAAGTGTTGAAAAGAAAACAGAATAGAGCAAGCTAGAGTTAGAGGCCTTTTTTGCTTTTGTTAATTGTATAATAAATAAAAAGAAAAAGATAGAATACAAAAAGTTTAGAGAAGTTAGTGTTTTTTTTAAGAAAACAAGCAGTTAGTAAATGAATAGAGTGCTGATCTTCTATATTCGAGATATATATAATGTTACATTTTAACAGTACGTCAGGAAAGCTTGTTTCTGACACCGAATACAAAATAAAAAAAGGTAACTGCAACTTTTTATCTCGCAATTCTGACTTTT